CAACTGAGTGTGTTGACAACTAGCTGAGCGACTGCAACGAGTATCCTAAAGCTAAGGAGAAGGGAAAGGAAGAAAAGAAAAGAAGAGAAAGTTGCAGAAAGAAACACGAGCTTTTGAGCGGAGCTCCGGAGCTGGTGTGGGTCCTGGTCGAGAGCGGAGCCGAGACCCACACGGGCCCAGCCCGTTACAGTAGGGATCATCACTCGACATGGCCAGCTTGGGAAGTTCAGTTTCCACCTGGTCCATCGACATGATCCCATCCCGAATGACACGATCAGACTCGAGTCGGGTTTCGGGATAGTGCCGGGCAAATGGAGCAAACCTACTGCGGTTGACTCTGTTGATCTGAACAACATACACGCAGTCATCTTCAAGTTTGCCCCTGCGCAAAACCGACTTGTTCCCTTCGAATTCGGCCAAGGACCATCGCCAATCACCCCCGGAGGTGTTGATGATGAATTTGTTCTGGAATTTACCCGCTACCTCGCCAAGAACGACCTGACCAACATGTTTGCGCTCGAAGTCGTCCATCCCACCGAATGGGGAAAGCCCAACGAATGCACCGCGGAGGTAGAGGTGGACAAGCTCGGCACCGTCGTGCTACCTAAGTCGTTGGTGAATGCGAAGGAGTTCCTGCCCACAGGCTGGCCGGGCCCTCTGCAGCCTGGCGACAGCGACCCTCCAGCGGGCCAGTCATGGGCAAAGAAGGTTGATGAGTCTCACAAGGTCTTTATCAACAAGCCGATCGGGACCGCGGGAGAATTAGTCCAAGAGTTGGTCCGCCAGGGTGTTCTCAAGGTCTAAGATCTACTCAGAGAACGCAGCCCCCAGCCGCAGAACCCATGTCGGGTTTCGCTTCTACGAGGCGGACAGTCATTTGCCTCCTCCCGTACTGTCATTATCGTCATTTTCCACCCCTGGTGGTCCTTACCGTCAGTTGAAGCCACGACTCTCGCTTTGGCAATACACATATATGTGCTCTGACTTCGTGGATCATACTTGCATGCCTTGAGCCTGTGTTAGTAGGCAATATAGATGGCAGTTGGGAGCTATGGGTCACTGTACATTCGAGTCATACAGGAACAGCTCAAGAGTCGTGATGTAAGCATTCCCTCATCTTTCAGGCGCGATGGCTTGTGTGCGGCACGAAGCTGCGACGACTGGCCTAAGGCAGACAGAATGCCTCAAGGCACACGAGATCAGGATCTCCCTCCGCAAGAGGCAACGCGTTTTTCTTCTCAGGCCGGCGATCAAAGCCATGGGTCCGAAACAAACCGAACATTCTTCCGACTTCGATCGCCCGCCGATCATCATCGGCAAGATGTCCAATTAGGCCGTAGAACTTGCTCCAGAATTTCTCTCGGAGGAAGTTGTGATCAGGATGGAAGAACCAGCTTGACGAAGTCTGGACGCCAAGAACAGTTTCGAGACCACCGAGAGATGTACCAAAAGGGGTAATTTTGGCGTCGGCCCAGTCGACGATACCGGTGATGCAACCAGTGTCCTCATTCACGTGAATGTTCATCTCTAAGAGGTCGTCGTGGTTGAGCACCATCGGGTAGTCCGACCGAAACAGTAGTGGGAGTCCTCGGCGTATCTCGTCTAGCTTCAACTGAAAGCGGTCGGGTAGGCCTTGGGAAAGCTGGTCGAGGATCTTGGAATAATGGGCGAACAATGCGCGGGCGACGTCCGGCGACTGCTTCAATCCCGGCCTGTTCGTCCAGGCTGAAGCGAAGAATCTAGTCCTTGCATGAGTAAGGAGCTCAATCCGATATGCCACGCGCGTCAACAGACCTCGCAAAGTCCTCGACGGTTCGAAGAAGATGCTGCTCCATCCCAGGGGCGAGGAGCTGACGCCGGGCTCGACAGAAGGCTACTCCCGCCACGAGATCCATCTCGTACATGTAGAGATCACTCAACATGCCACGAAATTCGCAGTTGGGGACAAAATCTCCATAAGTTTGCCGTGCTTGGTGGACGATGTCGACATTCAGGGCTGAGTTGCGGAATTGGACGACTTTCCGCTGGTGGCCAGAGTCGGCTACCACGGTGTAGCTGGTCTGACCTTGTACAGGCGTGGGAGAGACTGGACCTTCGACGATGGTCGCAGCCCTGTGATTGCAACCATCTCTCGTAATGGACTTGTGCCGGCGGAAAAAGTTGGCAATCTGAAACGTGGACAGTACGTCAATGTCCTCTGCCCTCACCGCATACACAGAGATATCCATCAGCAGATGATGTGAGTTTGAGGTGCGGTTTGGATGATGAAAAGAGGGTTGAGCACGAAACGCGATCCTCAGTTGGTTACGCATTCAGAAGTGCCATCGGGCAGTCATTCGGTGGTCATCACCGACGCGTTGGTTGGTCAGGGTCTGCTAGCTCGCCATCTGTTCAGGGTCTGATTGGCTGTGAGATGGTGCTGGTGAGGCGCCGCCCCAATCCACCACAGCGCGCTCCGACGCAACGGTGACGATCACCAACAAATCCACATACACCGGCGTTGAAGGTCTCTTCACCTCGTCCTTGAACCACTGCATGAGCCATACTACCAGTGCCATCAACTGACGATAGCCACCTGATTTACTTGCACCTTCCAATCGGGCCCGTCGTTGGCTGGCTGGGGCGCGTCCGGTTAGGCCAGCCGAGCCTGGCCTCGACCATCTTGAGACCTGTGCTCGATCATATTCTGACGTACCCGTTTGCCTACGCCGCAATAACGATGGACAATATCGAAGAGCTGCGACGAAGGCTCCAGGAGGAGCAACGCCGCCGCGAGGAGGCTGAGAATCGCGCATTAGAGGCTCAACGCCGACGTGATGTTGCCGAAGAACTTGCCGTAGCCTCGCAGCCACAGACTCGGCAATATCTCGAGGCCTGCCATTCGCTCCATTTGGCTATTCATGTCGTAACTGACCGATTTTTGACCACGCAGGGCGAAGCAACCGATCCTGCCGGCCGAATTTTCCCTCGACGAATTATTCCCTGGGACGACTTTGCAACCAGGCAAGAACAGATCTGGCATAATCTTTCGATCGGCGACTCGCTCCGCATGCCTGCGTTTCCATCTCAGCATCAGATGGAATACGTGAGGTCGTTTCTCAAGCCCATAAGCAGTGAACTTGGGCTCCGGGACTTTAAACTGCGTGGATCCGGTTATCAAAGCGGGCACCGACGAGGGTGTCGCCACGATGTTCAAAGCGGTACACAAATTGGGCGTTCTCCACCGTGATGCAGAGCCACGCAACATTCTGTACAACGCAAACAGTGGCAAGCTCATGGTTGTGGATTTTGAACGTGCAGAGTACCGCGATCGCCGGCCTCTCGGCTCAATGTGCCCCAACGACCAGAGCCGGAAGAGGAAGCGTGTAATATCACAGGAAAAGAAGGAGGACGACTTCATGAGGGAACTTGAATCAGCTGTGGAGAGGGCATCAAGCTGTACTGCGAGCTTGTCCAGTCCTGCACTCACTGCGGCCGGCGGAGAACGTTGACGGCGCCATCAGGCTATGTCAAACGGTCCTCGACTTACTGCCGGCCGTCAACACCAAGCCAATGAACCGTAGCGACCAGCAGTTCGTTATCTCAAGCTTCGCCGGCGTCGCAGCTAATCTTTGTTCTTGCTTGCGACTGGTCCGTCCTCTAGCTACTGGAGAGTCTCGGGAGAGGCCGTGCCGTTTTCTTGACCAGATTGTCGACGGTAGGGATGACTTGGCTTCTTTGCGACACGACCGCTGTGATATCGCTTGCCGGTATGAACGACTGCGAAACTAGATCAACGAAAAGCCTGACGACTGGGAGCAAGCCGCCACCCGAAGATGTTGGTAAAACATCCAGTTGGCTACATTACATGCACCTCGTTGCCAATTCTTCGACAACCCTACCAACACTGACCCTGGTGGACTCTATCTCTTGTGCGAATGGATCGTGTCCATACTTCGCACTCGTTCGCTTCCTCTTCCTCGTCCCGTTTGGGCTGATTGGTCCAAGCGTCGGACGTTCGCAAATAGCTGCCCTCTCGAAATCTACAATCATAACTCTGTTGCCGTCGCACAGTACGTTTCTTGGCTCTACGTCCTGATGGAGCACACCGCGATTGTGCATTTCCGTGAGTTTCCAAGGTCGGGCTCAGAAACCAACGACACCGCCCATCGTGACGCGACAGCGGACGCCGATCGCCAGACAAACGATCCGACAGATGGTGGCAGGCCTGATGGCGCTCAGCCAAGTGACTCCCAGCAAGACAATGTCCAGCCCGATAATGCTCAGACGGACAGCAATGCGCAAGGCAGTACTTAGACTAGGAAGTACAACCAAGAGAGATGACGGGTTATTGTGAAGCTTAGATGCAGAGGATTCGGGCTGGTAACAGAGTTGATTCGAATGACGATATCATTGACCAGACTTCTGGCCCAGTCGCTCATGTCCCTGTAACTCTTCCAGTTCACTCCCGTTAGTGGCTTGTCAATGTTACCTCTTTCCGACCCTGACGGATCAAGATCATGCACTCATGCACTCTCTTCTCTGCCCCTGCTGGTCACCAGGCCAGCGACCGTTGATCCCGGTGGACTTGAAGCAGAGCAAGCCCGGTGTGGAACGGGTGAAGAATCGTTCGATCCCTCCCACCATATGCCCAATCATGTTGCAACAAGACTGGTTAGAAATGGCGAGCGGCTAATGGTTGGTAGCCATGGTCTATCGCTTGATCGCAGCCAAGGTTCCGGCCACCCAACAGCATTAGTGGCCGAATTGTTGTTTCATGAAGCGCCCTTGACAGCCCTCATATTGGGTTGGGCCATGATGAGGTGCGTGAAGATAGTCACGGCGTCACGGCCCCCCAGCTGGTCGGTGCCGCAGTGGCCTGTGCGTCATGTTTCGCAGGCGCCTAGTTTTGGTTGGTCGTGAAGAGCTTTGGACTCAAAAAAGTGGGGCTTTCTCACGATGACATGTCATCCTCTTGACACTTTGTGCCTTCTGACCCAACCCGCCTCCGTCAACTCTCGGCTCTGATAAAAAGCGTCGCTTCACCATGACCATCTATCAAGCCGCCAAACATGGTTCTTGCCGAAGGTTCGCTAACAGGTCGACGCACGTCTGATCTGTGGAAACGCCACGCGCCTTCACCTTTGCGTCAATCGGAACACGAACGAGACGGCCGTTCGCACAAGAAGCGCAAGCTCGACCACCCGGCATTCCCTCCACCCAGATTCTGGGATCGATTGTCAGTTATCCCGCTCACACGAAGGGCGCTGCGAGAGTCACAGCGGAGGGACGCGCAATTCACTAGCGGCCAGAAGACCCGAAACTGTTGCGGCCGTGCGTCGCAACGAACAATCCACGCCAGTCGCTTCGTCGAGCAATTGTCTCCAGCTTGCTTGAGGCAGCTCCAACGTTCTGCCAGACAAGGGGGCCCCGACTTGTGGGATATACGAGGGGTAAGCGCAAGAATCTCGTGCCTGTTTATCCTCTATTAATGATTGAGTAGTGCCGGATACCTGTAGAAGTCCAGGGCGAGATGAGCTCAAGCCAGTCGAGTTCGCGGCGCCGAAAGAGAGGATCACAGTCTCCAACAAAGAGAAGCTCGAATTCCCCGTCGAAAAGCACTGTTACCCCGAATACGACGAGTACGAAAAGCACTAGTCCATACGACCGGGCCTTTCAACAGCATCTTATCGATCACGATGTCTTCCCAGACGGGTACGAATACCCAGATGGTAGATTACCACCAGAGCCCGAAAACTTGAGTGAGATATGCCGAATAATGGCAGAGCCAAGGAAATCGCTCTCCCCGTCTCGTTTTACGGACGAGGATTTCCGCAGGTTCAAGCGTGCAGACACTCATGCTTCCAAAGAGAGAGATGTCACGACAACGGTTATTCCAGTCATAGAGGGGAATGCAGGCGACAGAAAGTGTGTTGCTGGCCAGATCCCATTCACCAATCTTGACCATTTGACGGATGGTACGCTTGTGCCGGGCAACCCCGACCTCTATTACGGCGCGCGTCCCGAGCAGCTCAACAGAGCTGTTCGCAGTGAACTGAACAAGATGATAATGCCATCTACACAGCAGGATCTCCCCATAATTCCCAACTTCTCCCTGGCGGTGAAGGGTCCCGATGGATCGTTGTCAGTCGCATCCCGACAGGCGTGTTATGACGGAGCACTCGGCGCGAGAGCCATACACAGCGTCCAAACGTACGGCCAGGTAGCAACGCTCGACAACCGGGCCTATGCTATCACATCTATTTACCATGGCGGAACTTTGAAGATGTACACGTCTCATCCTATCCCACCATCTGCACCAAACAATCGGGCCGGTTTCGTCATGACGCAGATCAAAGCGCGGGTCCTCACCGGTGATGCCGATGCCTTCCGGCAAGGTGCTACCGCGTACCGCAATCTCCGGGACTGGGCAAAGGAACAGCGAGACAATGCCATTGAGGAAGCCAACGGAAGATTGCCCCGAAACACCGGCTTCTCACCGTCGCAAAACGCGGCAGGTTTGGGATCGAGCTTCACAAGCGAGGCATCGGCCGCCGACACGATCGTAACCAGCCAGACAACGGTGCTTCATACAGATTCGAACGCGCAAACCACCTACGAGTCCGACAGTTCGGATGACCCACTATCACGGGATTTTCAGCCTTTGGACTTTGAGCCTCCCGCAAAGCGAACGAAATCGCGATCGCGGTCTCCGCGAAAACAGGCATGAGCATGCTCGCTCAGTTGGCTCCGATGGACTTCGAGTGATGCCACGACGTAGCATGCGTCGGCTACACGAATCGGACTCACTGTGGCTGCAGGCTCCTTGGCCCAGGCACTCCGACCTGTCACTCGTGGAGGCACCAGCATCAGGGGGGACAACACAAGCCTACAATCGAATGTTTGGCACACAATGCGTCTCCCAACTTCGGGCGACGTCTGTTGCGATGTAAGGCTGAGAAAGGGCAACATTGACTGGTCGACAGACTTCATTTGCGCGCGTACGCGCATTTCAGAAGCCGGCGACAAAATCGCCAACGGCCCGTCATGTCGATCTGAGCAGCACGTTGGAGTTGATGTGGTGAATGCAGAGCTGCTCTGAACCGCGGGAAACTGATCATCTAGGGCAGCTTTCATCTGTTCGTCGAAGTCGGTAATAATGACATCCCGTTGCCGAATAGAGTGCTGTTCTAAGAGCTGTCGAATGCTCTCGGAAAGGAACTGGAACCCTTCACGTCTCTCATTGTCTATAAGACCGAATGCAGCACTGTAGACCGAACCTACGCAAGTCTGTCCTGTTGCCTGGAGCAATGGTAACTTGAAGCGATTGGTGTTGTACGTGTTATCGAAACTGATCACCTCGGGAAACCGCTTCCACATCTGGAGACAGTAAGGAAAGGTCCAGACAAGGCCAACAAGGCGGTTAGGCTCGTCATCAGCCCACTTGACAAAGTACGGAATCTCCTTTTCGTCAAAGAGCTTGATTAGTGCTGCCGTAGGGGAGTGGCCGTTCAGTTTGTCCCGATTGATACGAGCCCTGGCATTGTAGATGTCCTTTCGTGTAAGATGTTACTCGGACCTTCGTCCTCTTGACTTGAGCAGTGGTTAAGGCCAATACAACTAATAAATCTCACATTTTGACACCAGTGTCGTTGACGGGACCACAATGCAGCTGACTGACAGAGCCTCGCGGCGACCCAACCCCTCGAATCTTTGCATTCTTCAACGTTCGATTCTCGCACGGGTCGTTACACCCAATTCAGACAGAGACTACGGTAGCAGAGCAACGATTAAGGCGCAGCCCGGGCGGCTAGATGCGGCGTGATGAAGTCGTCACACGCTATGGCGCACCCTACAGCGTGCACCCTGTAGCCAGTCACACACGTTGCTCGGCGGTCACAACAAACAGGACGGGACAACCGGCCAATCGCCTTCCTCGTACCCATGTGCAAGGCAACCTTGCCTTTTCCTGTTTTGTCGACTGAGTGCACTTTCTAGTGTTTCGCAAACAGGTCGACCCACGTGACTTGCGTAAGCGCCCTGCGTCTTCGGCTTCGCAGGAAACGGAATAACGTTACGAACGGGACGGCCATTCGCACAAGAAGCGCAAACTCGACCACCCGGCATTCACCCCAGCGAGATTCTGGGATCGATTGTACGTTAGTTATCCCGCCCACGCGAAAGGCGTTGCAGGAGTCACAGCGGACGATCGCGCAAGCCGCTTGCGGCTTAAAGCCACGAGACTCTAACAGTCATGCATCGCGACATCCCATCGACACAATCGCTTCGTCGAGAAACTTGTCTCCAGGTTGCTTGAGGTGGCTCAAACGATCGGCAAGGCAAGGCGGCCCGGGCCTGTGGGATATACGAGGGGTAGGCTCAGCAGGCTAACCCTTGCATACCCAGCCGCGGATGGTGAAGCAGTGTCGAGCGCCCACCGCGGCTTACGACGTGACGAGCTCGAGCCAATCGAGCTATCTGCCCGGCAATCTCAAGCCTTGGAGGAGATTCTTGCAGGAACATGAATATTCTTGTCATTTGGGGTTTAGTGCCGTGTCGTTGATGTCGAAGGATCTTGCGCTGCCTCGCCGACAGGGATGCACATCAGGCGCCTGGTAATCTACTGGAGACATGCACGTGGCGTCACGCTGGGCCGCTCGAGGTCACCATCCACGGCTGGCCCACTGCCCCAGGCTGCGTTTCCGCAGCGGCAGGCCATCTCCAAAGCCGACAGAACATCTGGCATCCAACGGGCCTAGTCAATGGGGCTCAAGGGACAATATATGACATCGGTTGGGCGCCTGGCGCTGATACGCACCGTGACCCGCCGTCTGTCATTATGATGGTGATGGATAAGTATACCGGGCCATCGTATCTAACCACGGATGATGGGCGCGAGGTAGTACCCATACTCCCAGTCAAGCGAGACTTCTTTCTTGGGGCGTCAGCCTGTACCCGAACGCAGTTCCCACTCATGGCATCCTATGCCATTACGGTTCATAAGTCACAGAGCATCACAGTGGACAAAATGGTGACCGATCTGTCTGAACGAGACTTCCAAACAGGGCTCAGCTATGTTGCAGTCTCCAGGGTCAAGACGTTGCATGGGTTAATGATCGATGCCCCGTTTGAACGGGCATCTCTCCACTATGAGAAGCTACCTGATGGCAAGCAGAGTTCCATTATGTTAGTCACGCTTGAGGTTCTATAAGTCCTAACACAGCAACAGGTGTTTTGATGAAAGTCCGCGACCAGGACCGGCGCAAGCAACAGCAACTTGACCAACGACTATTCCTACCTGTCTTTTCTTGATAGCGGTACTGTAACTAATGCTTGCATCCATTCGAGGAGCACCAGCGAAATGCCACACTTTTGAACATGAAATGTCATAGCATCAAATGTCACGTCATCAAGATCAATCCTTCATGCCATAGGGATACATCCTTCGGACTGTATTACACCCTCCCCACCTCGGTGAGGGTGTCAGCATATTTTACTTGAGCTCAGGCCTCAGACGCTGCGATGCTGCTTGCCCTTGAGCCATTGGTTCGCACCAGGAGATTCTTGGTTGGTCGTTCGCAACGTTGGATTGACGACGCTGATTAGGTGAAGTTGAACGCATGTACTGATGGTTACTGTGCTTGAAAGCCACCGAGGCGCTATTGTGAACACTCCCAAGGGGCAGACGAAAAGAGAGATCCGAAGGTAACGCTGTGTTTTGCGGGAAAGAGAGCTCCATATCTGGATTTCTAATATTTCAGCGGTGTGGTGTCAATGGGGGGCCGTTTCGTGACGACTTGTTGAAGAGACCGCGGCAATAATGTACAAACAGTTACGCCTCTGCGTACATGTACTTTGCGATGTCTACTCTGCGATGTCTACTTGACCATTCGGCCCGCAGGATCCAGCTTCAAACCGCTTGGACGATGGACCAGGTTGCGGACGACCTGGGCAAAATGCGTATGTATTCGGGGAAACCCTTGGCCTACAAGGCCTTGAACGAAGCCGCTTCCGAGGCTGAAGAAGCACCCAGAGGTCGACAGACTGCCTTGGATCTGGTGTGGACGGGGGGCAGCAAATTATGCAGCTCGACCATCTCGGAAAGACTCTTGATGGCTCCAGAAAGCGTCAAATACTAAGCTGAGGGCCGCCTGGCACGAGGAGACTCACAGTCGACTGGGAGCATGGTGATCGCCCAACTGCGGAAAAGTGCAGTTGGAGTGATTAGCTCTCTTGCCGCATGGTGGGCGAGCGAGAAAACGTGAGCCACGGGATTGGAGGGGATGGGAGGCGGAAACAACCGTGCCATTGTTTACCAAGGAGGCACCGGTTGCCAACCCTTGCTAGCGCCACCACGATATGACATATCCGACGGTCGGAGTCCCTCCTTTGCGGCCACGGATCCGTGTACGCTGCGCCTGCGGGGAAGAACCTTCCCCCTAACACGCACGACAGGCTCGGGAACTCGTGATCTAGGGCGGAAGCACACGGGTCTTGCTGTCAAGTTTCTGCAGTGTCCCTGGGTGTGCGCCGTCACCAAAGTTTTCGAAGCCATGGCTCCTTGGAATACCTCAGTGGTTGCATGACATGGTCTCTCTGAGGTTCGTATGGTCCTCGGGGAAGACCGTTAGTGACAGATGCTGCCAGCTAAGCTGCTAGCTGAGGAGACCGCAACACACCGTCCACGCTCCGATTCTACCGGGTGGCTCTGCAGCAATTGACTGATGCGAGATGGTGTGCAGCTGCAGCAACTGGCGCAGTCGACTCCGCCGTGGGCACAAGTTGAGGCGAACAGAGGCTCATGTATGACAGGCGCCTCCTTGAATGGGTCGCCAATCAACACTCCGCAAAAGTGTCACCTGAACCCCAGGCACTGTCTCGAGACGGGAGTGTTTGTTCATGGGATCAATATGGGTAGGATCGGCTGCCAGGTACTGCCGTCGCTCTGTGGCTAGCGCGATGCACTTGAACGTGGGGGTGGAGACCTCAAGTGGCTCACCCCGCTTTGGCCAGGGGACGAAGGGGCCAATAGTCATTAGAGCTCTGGCACTGAGGGGTCCTCGAACCAGGGCCTGGCCCCTCACGGCTTCAGCGCTTGGTTCTCCTCCATCAAACAAGTCGTCGTCGTGCTGGGTCAAACTGAGTTCCGCCGACTGTACTCGAGTATGCAACGGGTATGAGGAAGTCTGTATGTGCCTGAACTCGTTAAACACGGCAGATATATGCACAAAAACCTCCACCATCCAGCCAGGCGACGACAGGTGGAAACAAAGGAGCCACCCGGCCGCCGCGAATTCCGCCTTGGAAGCTACGAGAGCATACCTTCAACAGAGGTTCGCTCGTCGTAGTCTTCCACGAAGAGATGGCCTGCACCATATCGTACACGGCGGAGTTTCCAATTGTCGCCGCTCGACGTATAAGCACCGGCCTGCGGCGTCTAGACAGGCAGATGAGCGACAAATAGCTCTCATGGTACAGATGATGCGGGATCTGGAGGTCGTCGAGCCTGGCAGTAGGAGCACACCAGCCTTGGGGCCATCTGGCTCTCGAGGGCGTCGCGCGAGCATGTGAGGCTCTCCGGAGTTTGACGGCTGCTGCGTATCACATGCCTTCGATTTGTAGCCCCATAAGGAAGCCAAGAGTTGACAAATGCAATTCTCCTCACGCTTCGTCTCGAGTGGCTAGAGGCAACCGCTCCTCCGACGCCTGGTTGCCCCTCGCCATCCGCGATGATGGAAATACACGGATGCTTCAGCAGACGCACCAGGCATGTCCCAAGGCGCATGGGACGCAGCCTTCCACGATGACCTATTTGTAGGCGAGGCCGTGCTTCTCAGCCGGCAGCGCTGTGCCTTTGCCTGATTGAACGGACAGGACGGACCTCCAAGGGCCTTCGTCGACACCAAACAAGCCACGGAATCCATGTTTCACAAATAGCCTTCATCCATGCGTACTCGTCGATGTTGCCACTGCTTTGACCAGCAGCAACCTCAAAGCGCTCCCGATCGGGGTCCCATGAAAGCCTGTAACCGCCTGCGTCTTCTGCTACCCATCGGCGTTGCAACTTGAGGGCGTTATCTCTCCATCCAGGCTGCTCGTCCACGACAACTAGGATCAGGTTCGCGCAAGGGGCCGCCTCTAACATATCCTCGAAGACGGAGGTATCTTCGAAGCCAGTGGGGCGAGGAGGGAAGGTACCTTCGGCGCGAAGAAAGGATTCCGACACAGCGAGACGGGCAATAGCTGAACGCATCAGCGGGTCTCCGCCGGTATCCCCGATTAGGTCCTCCCACTCACATGCAAAGGATCTTCCTTTGTCTGGTTCAATGTAGAGCGTATCGCGACTTGGGTCGAACGGTCGCGCGAATCCAGAGCCCTGGCGGTTCGCGCAAGGACGCATTTCCGTTTGAGTTATCCAGGACAAGGCAGCGCAACGAGATTCCCGACAGATAGTGGCAAGATGCATTGGAACGGAAACTTTATCCAGTAAGTGTGGATCAAATTCCGCGCGCACAACTTTTTGACCGGCGATATACGCTTCGTCAGGTTCGGAGACGTCAACGAGTCGCAGACAAGCCCGCCTGTAGGGCAGCAAGACTGGCCCGTCGACTTCGCGCAGCGAGATGTGCCATATGTGGATTCGTATCTCCGGTGGGAGTTTGCCGAATAGTAAAAAAGAGCTGCAAGCCGCCGTGTCCTTGCTTTCTGCGGCCTGGCCATCATCTGGGCAGGTGGTGTATGGTGGGGTCGGAGGGAACCTCGGATCTAGACTGTCCACTTCATGGTGCGTTAGGCCTTCGCCTGGAGCCGCTTCGGCCAATAATGAAGGTCTGGATGGCATGCTGATCGAGGAGCTACCTCCGAAGTCGCGGGGTAATCGTGAGTCAAGAGTTCATGAGAGTCATCAAGGATCAACGAGAGGAAAGAGGAGGGGAGACCAAAGCAATTGGGAAGAGAGATAAACAGCGCGACATGCCGCGGGGGGAAGAGGCTTATTAATAGGCGGGCGGCGGGCATCTAGGCCTCCTACTTGCATGGATGATTGGCCAAGAAGCAAGCAGACGAGGCAGCCGCTTCTCCGTAGAAGCGCTTGAGAGAGCTGACTCCGCCATGACACGCAGATGCCGGGCGGAGGAGTGTTGGTCGCAAACTCATCATGTGCGACGCCATGTGTCACCGATCAAACCCTGGTCAAACCCTGGTCACGGCAGCCACCGCTCAGTCCAAGCTGACCGGCATCACCCAATGACAAGCTCATAACGCGCACTGCAACAGTGTGCAACGGTCATCCGCTGCGGCGTTATGGGGAGAATCGTCCGATTGGTGCGTCATATCCGGCCATGACGCACAACGTTTCCTTCATACTACTGAAACGGGCATTGGTCGGTCGGTTGCCCTTCGTCGCAGTCTGTCGATACCGAGAAAGGGGATGAAGTTCGACAGAATCGATCTTGGAGAGTCGGGCAAGTAGCGGGGCCATAGGGCGGCTTGCATAAGCGACGTCCGGATGTCTCTATCCGGCGACACTCGGTCAAAACGAGTACGCGTGCTTCGTTAAACGGGAAGCTTGACGCGCGCTGGATGAGGTTGGCGATGGCAGGATCGTGAGCGTATCCTCGGTCGCTTTGCTAAACACCTAAGCAACCCTAATTTAGCACACCACCAGATCGACTTCGAGAAATGGGCGAGCACCACTTACCGTTGTCTTGCTCAGTTTATGTGCCGGCATTGGTCCACATAGCTCATTGCGATCGTCTACACTACCCTTGTCCCTGATCCTCGAGCTGGGGACACTGTCGCGCAGCGCGGCAATCTTCTCGTTGACATTAGTGCGGTACCGCCTCTCGATCATGTTGTGTGTCGCTCTTTTGACGGGCTGTTTCTTTCCTTCTACATCATCACCCCCTGCAGACGCTTTCCGTTTCCGGGTATCCTTTCCGTCAACTAAGCCGGGAAGCCCGAGCGAAAAGCCCCGCCTAGCCTCTTCATCGCCTTTCGCTGAGTTGTCTGGAGGCACTCTTGGGGGATTTGGCAGTCACGGCACGAGCCTGGGTATTCCTGGTCGCATGGAGATTGCTTTGGGTGGAGGCGTCGGGGACATGTTTGGTAGGCGGGTTGGCATTAGGCGGGCAGTTGTCAAAAAATAAGGAGGAAGGTGCCCCAAACTGAGGCTGCGACTGCACCGGAGGATGATCAGAGGCAGTAGAGAGTTGCCATGCATTGCCTACCGACCCGTCCTGGTTCAGCGGCGCAGTGCCAATAGAGTTATCCCAAAAGGCGGCAACGAGGGGCTCGGCCTGGGTGGACGAGCCATAAAAAACCTGGTTGGTTGCATCGGGCGTGTACTCCTGCGGCCAGGCCCGGCCGGGGCTGTAGTGCGAAGACGCCCAGCGGTCTCCGCCGGCCATGCTCTGTGGGTGAGAGCTCACACTGTACATTGCTTCCGGCAGGTCTCTGTGGATGAGGCCTACTTCGCCAGTTCCTGAACTGGACGGGCGGGCCGGTGCCGGTGCATGTCGGCTGGCGAGACTGTAAGCGGTCGACGACCGGTGATGGGACGGCCGAACGGCCGCCGCGTGGCTTCCGAGTCCGGCTCCATGAGCTTGTCCTTGAGCGGGAGATCGCTGGAGTCCAACGTTGCTTGGAACCCGAGCGCTGATTGATGGGAGGGGTGTCTGGGAATCGGCGCCGCCATGGCTGGTGGTGTATCTAACACCATCCGGACCGTAGGCGGCGATGGAACCACGGTGCAAGACTTCACTCATTGAGTGAGCATGTGGCTCAAAGGAAGGCTGTCGATGGTGCTGGTAGTCCCCATGAGCTCTGGCCTGGGTGTAGTCCATGGGACTCATCTTGGGGACGATGTGTGGTGCGCGAGGTGGAAACATGACTCTTCCATAGCCATCTCCGTATGCAGGCACCATGTAAGGATGGGCAGACCGGGGCTGGTGAGGGTCTGACGATTCCGGGGCACTGTAGTAGGGCAGGCTGCAGGCATCACCGAGGCGAGCCCGCTTTCCGGAGTGGATCGTCATCTCGCCAATGTCCTCACCCTCGTCGTGATCATCCGAGAATACATCGCCATTGGTCGAGTCCTGTCTGAACGGGCCGGGAAAGTCGAGTGCCTTTCGTTTTGGCGTCTTTGAACCGCTGTCTTGCCGTCGGGTCCGGGCAGGCCTTGCCGATGCACCCTTCTCCCCGTCGACAATGTCCGGTAGGAACTCAATCTCTGGGACTGTGCTCAGACTGCCTCTGGCAATCTCTTGGTGTAGACGCTCCGCAATGTCGAGCATTTTCTCGGTGGTGTAACCATCGCCCAGGGTCTGAATGATCCAGTCGGGAACGGCACTGCCTCCCTGATTCGCCATGTTGTCTTCATCTCCGTCTTCGCCCGCCCCTTTGCCGCTCTCGAGGCGATTTTGCTCGCGCTTCCGAAGAGATAGCGTCCATTGCTTAATGTACGGGCCGCTGCCCTTGGCCTTGTTGGCCTCGCTCCACCGCTGGAGCCGCACGATCTGGACCTTGACAAGCTCCATCTGGTTGCTCGGGTAGGTACATGCGTTGCGGTAGCGGATTCGCTGGTAGTGTTTGCGGCAGTAGTACACCCAGACGTCCTTGGGGATTTTGAGCGTGCAGGACTTGTTCCGGCCAAACAGGTGCGAGATGGCCTTGCGCAGCTGCGAGCCGGTGTCACAGTTGGCGACGAACATGCAACGGGGTTCTTCCGGGGTATCTGCTGAGAAGTCGACGCCATCGTCCAGCAGAGAAAGTGAACGAGGCACAGAAGGAAGGGCGGGCACCGAGCTATCCAGAGGCGAACTGGGCACAGTTCGAGGCGGTACATGGCTTGCAGCCTTCTGCAGGTCAAGATGGCTCGGGTTCGTCAACTTTCTCTCCTCGGGCCGGCCAAGAGCAGCCTGGGGGGTCAAGATCGACTCTCCTCGCGGCACAGGCGAGCCAGTAGCAGAAGCGGTCATGCTGTGGTGCGGCGGGGGCAGAAGCCCGGCGTATGCGTGTGTAGACGTGGGCGGGAGCAGCAACGACGCAGATGCTGGAGCGAAATCGGGTGCAGAAGTTGCTCTTTTGTGCAACCTCGCGTTGGGAAGGAGATGAGCGGCACGACTGAAAGGTTGACTGGGTAGAGAGGTCCTTGTCAGCTCTTGATCTGGTGGGTGAAAAGGCAAAGTAGAACAGAGAGGAGGCGATGGCTGTCGGAGAAATGCAGTACGGGGCTCAGCCCGCAAGAACAGACAAGTGTTGCTGGGAGGTGAGTGTGCAAGTCAAGGTCTGAACTGAAGAGTGCCAAGATGCAGAACTCGAGGCCAAGTCAAACCAGTCAGAGGAATAAGTAGGTGTGGCCCAGAACCGACTGTGATGATGGAGACTCCAGTTGAAGAACATCAGGCCAGGCTCAGTAAGCACACTCCTCACCGATACTTGCTGGCTGGAGGAATGTGGCCATTCATCCGAAGTTCCGTCCGCCTAGACGGACGCATGGCCGCGTTGAATCACGCGAGCGCCGACTGTCCCCGCAGCTCGCTTCTCTTTACATTCCATATCCTCTGCTATCTTTGTGCTGATGGAAAGCGTTCGGACTTGATGATGCGGAGGATGTCAAGCGAATCCGGGTAAGGAGAGCCCATGATGCAAGGCAATAGCAACACAAACCACCTCGAGACAAAGACGTCGCATCATTTTGCATTCACTCCAGAACGGCCGATAAAACACAAATGACTTGCATACGTACCAAGGACTTCCATGGTTCTGGTGGTTTCGCGAGGTCGT